ATTATCTTAAATGTTTCTTTAAAGTCACCCCTGGGGCGTCTTCTTTCCATAGAGAAGAGATTTAACGCTTCAAGCCTTTCCTCATATGAATTGCCCCCCATGGCCGAGACCATCCGAGTGGCTAACATTTAAACCTTCTTCATGCACTGGATGTCCTTCTAAAGGTAGGGTGCCCAGGCCTAGGCACAGTATTCTAGGTGGTGTCTCACCAGTGCCTTAGACAACGGGAAAAAGACTTCTGCCTTTCGAGTGGTCAGTGTATTTCTCAAATGGAATAGCTGACCTCTAGCTCTTTGCGCTGCAGCTTTGCATTGGTTGCCTGTCTTGTAATACTCGGAGACTACTATCCCTAGATCCTTCGTTTGGGCTACGCGCGTTAGTTCGGTGGTTTCCGAATCAGTGCTTACACTTACACACTTGCCTTCAGTGTTCAATATGTGACACTTTGACGGGTTTAGGTCTAGGTCCCACATCTAAGTCCAACGGATAACCTTTGTTAGGTCTTCCTGTAGTTGGTCTCGCGGGCCTGAGTTAACTAACTTTACTTCGTCCGCAAACACGAATGTCGGGATGGACAAACCCCTAACTAAGTCATCGACGTACAGAAGGAAAAGTATCGGGCCTAGGACGGGGCCCCACTGGTGACTCTCCCCTCCGTCGATAGAGCCTCTTCTACCCGAACCCTGAAGGTCCGCCTGTTCAAAAGCGCCCCTATCCATTTAAGCAGAGTCTCAGGAAGGTCAAAGTTCTCGAGCTTTTTAAGGAGTAATCGATGATTAACCGAGTCAAAAGCCTTTCTAAAGTCTACATAACAAACTTCAACTTTTTGGCCTTCCTCCAACTTCCTTGAGACTTCATCTAGGAAGCACAACAGGTTGCCGAGACATGACCTGTTTTTGAGGAACCCATGTTTGTTCGGGGAAAGCAGGTTGTAGCACGCAATATGCTCACCTATACTGTTTCTAACGATTTTCTCAAGTCATTTACAGAGTACAGTAGTGAGACTAACCGGTCTATAGGTCTCTGGCGCCTTTCGGTCACCTCCCTCGTGTATTGGCACAACTGTTGTAGTCCTCCAGTCGTTCGGTATCTCGCCGAGTCTCAGGGATTTCTCGTATATTGCACACACGGGAACCCCCAAAATCTCTGCATGCCTTTTGACCATGGCCGGATGAAGTCCATCGCTCCCCGTTGATTTGCCAGATTTTAATTCAGGGAATATCTTCAGAATTTAAGTTCTGCCCAGCCGTTGTTCGCTCATTTGAGGAGCTCGTACCTGTGGCAGGTGTGAGGGGTAATTGCGCCCATCATCCATTTTATAGACGCTTTCAAAAACATTTTGAGTATCTCACACTTCTCTGCCTTCGAATAAACTTCTTCTTCTTTCGGAGAATTCCAACCGCTTGCCTGAGGGCAGCCTTCGATTGTACACACGCGTAAAACCTTTTTGGTTTGGTTTTAGCTTGCTGAGCGATCCTCAATTCATGTTTCATTTACCTAGTTTAATAAGCTTGTTTGCGTAATTTCGGGCCCTTTTGTAGGCCAACCACTTGTGCTACCCCCCCCTCCGAAGTTCATATAATCCCTTCATTTACGTCCACTGAAAGTTACTGCTGTCTTTATGGTGTTGTCCACTATGCAGGGTCTTGAGAATTTCTCTTCGGTTGCAATGACGCGTACCTGTCAGTGAGCTCAACTAGGCGCTCCCAAAGTATATTTCATTCCTCCTCACTAGATACATCCTCGTTGGGCTACCGCCAAATGGTTGAATCAGCCACTTGGACCAGGCCGGCCGACCGAAGTTCCCGATGCATTTGGAGGAGGAGTGTAACTCCCGAATAGATCAACGAGCGACGCGTAGCCGAAATTGGATCCCAAAACGTCAACAAAACGAACGATCCGGCAAATTTCTACGGTACTGCAATTATAAGCGATCAAATAAGCAAATAAAAACTGTAAAAACCTCAAAGTGATCTCGAAACAACTTGAAAACAAGAGCCAAGTGTTACTGTGAGCGTAATTCAACAAATCTGAATGGAAAAAAATGAGCCTGGGTAAGAATAGCACGCTCACCGTCACGCTGCACATGAACGAGCCAAATGTGAGCGCTCAAGTCGCCATTAAAACAAGTAGGGTAACAATTGAAGCAGATAAACAAACAAAGTCAAATGATAGGATTGATGTATGAATATACAAGGGGAGTGGAACGTCCAATGTCTATATGTATATGAGACGGATGGTGTTTGGTGAATGGAACGTAAAATTCGCGAAATGTGGAACCGAGATGGAATGATTAGGCTTTACAGAAAGGAGTTTAACAAATGGGTAAATACACCGCCTAGCAAAATCCTTCCTCGCGTCAAACGGTCAAAGGGAAATTCAAGGGAGTACTAATTCTCACCATAACTACCTATTCCCTACAGCCTTTGTGAATTTGTTGTGAGCCTATCTTCGTTCTATCCGTCTCCGCCAGCTCAGGAGGTTAACCACAAGCCATTCTCCATGACTCACAGTACCTCTTTCGCCAACCCGGAATATTCCTCAACTGCTTGGGTTCCCAGTTGCTTCTGCCTCATCTCCCACCAGGTAGGAGATTCGGCAGAAAGCTCGCAGGGTTTCGCCGGCTGCCGTTCTCACTTTAACCGTGCGTACGAGTCCATCCTCATCCGAGAGACATTCTTCGATGATCGCTAGGGGCCATTCATCTAGCCGAAACCGTTCATCTGCAAGCAGTACTGTCACCAACTCGAAAATTTCTTTCTCTAAGTAACCATTTCTGGCGTGCCTGTAGGGCAGGTAAGTACTCTCGGACCCACCGCTTCCAGAAAACTCCCGCTAGGTAGGTCGCCGCCTCCAACTGCTCGAGTAATATTTTGTCAGATTTTGTGGTACCGCCAGTCCATTGTTCGGTCTCAAAAGCATCAAATCGTTTGGCGTAAGTGCAAGACCCGGGGCTTCACTCGCTACAGGTGTCAAGGGCCTACTGTTCAATATGCGCTCCAGCTCGATTAGCGCCGTGTTTAGGATCTCGTCGTCGATGGACTGTTGATTACATACAGCCAATAAGGTTCTTCTTATCAACCTTATCATACGTTCCCAAACCCCTCTTCTATGGCTAGCGTACGGCGGGTTGAAGTGCCATTGGATAGTTTGGGAAACCAGTCGCTTATGAAGCTCGCTCTGGTCGACTCGGGACAGCCACCTTTGCAGCCCGTTGGACGCGCCCACGAAGTTTGACTCATTGTCGGAGTAGATGTAGCATATATAGCTTATATATACATCTGAGGGGAAAACCGTGCTCGGTAAAACAAACAGAAGTATAACAAAGAATTATCACAGTTGGAGTCAGAGTTGATTGTGAAGAAAATATGAACGGAAAACGTCCTCGTGGATTGCTCTTTTCCTTCGTACAATCATGGTCAACACAGATCTCTTCCCTATTTTCCCAGCCTGAATAATATTTTAATGATGACATGTCTTGGAATGACAACCACACGAAAAAGAATAATCAAGTGGTGATTGTTTTCTCTGTTCCTCTTTTTGGCCTCTGTACGGAACTGTTCTGGCACTCCCTTGATTACTAAATTTCGGTTTCTGCCGGTGGACACGTCCGACTACTTGGTGAGTTCCCACAGAGCCTTTTCAAACCGTGCGGTTTTTTGCTCCAGCTCTCTCAGGCCGTGATCTTGTTGTTTCATTTTCGCCGTGATCCTGTTCAGCTCTTTGCAGACGTCCTGGTTCATTTCACAGTCCGGGGTAACGCTTCGCTTCTGCAGTACCGTAACCTCGGCTACAATCGTGGAGCTGTCAATGGATTTACGAGCTACCTGACTTTTCCGGGTTGACGACAGCCTACATCTTTCCATGCAGTTAGGACAAGCCCATTTCTAGCAGGGGTTCTCCCCGTCTAGCCCCAGAGTTCTCTTGGACAACCCGCTACACTTTGTATGGTACCACGCATTGCATGCATCGCAGCAGATACCATCTGTAACGTCTTCTTCGCACCGTTCATTCCCAAAGGGAAACTCCACCTTCCCATTTGTACCCTTTCGGGACCTCAGTTTAGCTCCAGCACCCATCTATTAGTCTATAGAGCAAGTGTGCTTACCTGCAAAGCAAACTTATTAAGGATCTACCGCCCGAGCGGTAGCAGAGATGCTAGTAAAAGACGATGTCAATATAAAGAGAGCGCGGTGTGTAGCCTGAAGGCAGAAGACGTTTTCAGGCAGTATAATTCAATTGGTAATACACTGCAAGGTAACAATATAAAAATAAAGGCCAATAACAATATTAGCAATGATAAATCAAATGTTGTGCAGAGAGCATAACAAGA